GAGAACTTCTTCGTACAGTACAACTGTCTTCACTCGGCGGCAATCCTCCTCCCATTTGAAAATGTACCAAGTTCACTGTCTGATGCTGGGAATCATGACAACTACTATGACAGACGAATTCGGAAAAGGTGCGTTCTACTAAGTCGCCCTGACAACATGAACAAGTTGCGATAACGAGGTCAACCCATTTCTATAAATCGAAAGGAGACTGCGACCATATCAGAGGCCACATCTTGGTCTTCATATCTTCAATCCTCCTCCAGTTTCCAATGGGACTATTTCACTAATTCCTTCCTACCAACTGCTCCCTCGAAAGGAAAAGTAGTGACACAATTTTTTAAAGCCCCGATATAAATTATAACAGGAATTTTTGCAAACATCGCACACTACTAACAATCACGATTTGCGCGTTTGAGTAGGCCTCGAAATCATCAATAATTATTCCAGTCATGCTGGGTCGCAAAATGGAATGAAGGACTGGTTGTCCAATTTTCCCACGATGAAATGAATAGGCCTGATTTTTTAATTGAATTTCACTTAGCCATGCCTCCAAAAAGCTATTCCCATCCAGGCTGGATTACAGTTCCAACTTCGCCCAGTTGCATCCGCAGCTTGGCAGCGTAGCAGCTCGATATTTTGCCACAAATATACGCTGCTTGGGGTGCTAAAGAGACCTTGATGAGGTCAAGACTGCCTTTGGGAATCAGTGCTTGGGCAAATTTATTGGAAACCTGAGACATAACTGTACAATTTTCTGGGAAAATGCAACTTTCACTCCTTCATCACAATGTGCGATCTAGGGTGACTAGAATTTTTTAAAGAGTCATGCTAGTCGTGAAACCTAGTTTACATGAAATATATGCTAAAGTTTCTGACTACTTCGACTAATCGATATTTTTACATTTGTTCGCCCAAATTCACTTTCTAAGAAGCTCCATCGCGTTTAGGCAGCATACAATGCGGAAAATAGCTTTCCTCTTCCATTCGGCAATTGACTTTGTGCAATGACATGCATGCCTTCTACGTGGTGATTTCGGCGTGGCTGTGCACTGCTCTTCCAGTCGCCAGCCTCTACATGTGGGGCTCATGGGGCGATCGGGCTCTCGCCTGCTCCGTGACGTGTGGCCTGGGGACTCGATGCCGAAAACGCATGTGCCTCAGCCTCGACGGCCACCCTCAGACGGACACAACTCTGTGCAGCCTTGGCGACGATCCCGCCCAGCCGCAGGATCTCGATTGCCGGGCCTGCATCCTCAACAGCCACTGTCCCACCCAGCCGGGCTGGGGCGTCTGGGCCGCCTGGTCGGAGTGTCGCGCCCTCGGCCAGGCCATGTTCGGCCACGGGGCCGACGCGGGCTCCTTGAACCTTACGAATGTGGCGCCGAGAGGCGAGGCGAGCCGCCCTGTCCTGTCGTCAGCTCCGCCGTCCGGCTGTCTGAAAGGGGTACGGACTCGAGTCCGGCCCTGCAACAGTCCGCCGCCCGACCTCAACCCGAACGCGCCCAGATGTCCCGGTAGCGGAGAGCAGGCGCTCGGCTGCAACGTCAAATGTTCCGACGAGCCGACTGTCTCCGAGTACGACATTGCCAACCGGATCCGACTGCAGATGGAGTCGGACCATCTGACCCGGCGGCTTCGTCTGCGAGGTGCGTCAGACGAGGCCGAGACCGGCGAGGCTGAGCCGACCGTCTTCTATCGGATGCTTGGCGACACTGTCCGACTGGATTGCGCCACTCCAGCCGTCCGGTTGGCCGATGAGTTGCTGGGCTACAGTCTGTTCGGCATCGAGACCACCGGTCTGGGACGGCGTCGTCTCAGTCTGCGTTGGTACCACAACGGTCGGTTGCTACAGCAACCAGACGGTCCAAAAAAGGACCAACCGGCGACCAGACAACAAGTTGCGACGGGATTCACGCGACACGAAAAGACGCTCTGGGACGTGGAGACGAGCTGGAGGCGGCGGATGCCGCCGAGTTCGGGTCAGAGGAGCTCGGCCTCGTTGGTCATCGAACGTCTCGGCTACGCCGATCAGGGCGTCTACGTCTGCGAACTGTCAATTGGTACCAGCGCCATGGCGGCCACATTTTTCAGCGTGCACACGAGGCCAATTGAACATCGAGTCGAGGCGTTGCAAAGTTTCCATTTACACTCCAATCTCGGCGTGTTGGCGCCCCTGTTGGGCGGAGTTCAGCGCCTGCCGGTCATTTGGTATGACGCAGCTCAGCTCGTCTGGTACCACAACGGACGGGAGGTGAAGCGAGGCCTGGCCAGACTGGCTTCGCTACGAGTGATGCGAGTTGACCGGATCAACGAGACGCATCAAGGCGAGTGGCTGTGTTACCTCGAGGTGCCGGTGCCCGATCGTCCTGCCGTGTTGGCAGACGCCGGTGGTCGTCAAGTCCAGGCGCGCTTCCTCACGGCTCAGCTGTTGCTGCGTGTCTTGCCGCCGAGGCGGCCGAACTTCTGGAACGCCTGGCAACCATCGTCGAATGGACTGCGTAGTCTCGCCGTCTGGCTGTTGGTGGGCAACTTCGTTGTGTCAGTGGGTCTTCTGTTGACCGGATGGGCGCTAATTCGTTGGCGACGTCACGCCGCCCGACAGACAGACGTCCGTCTGAGAGGCTGGACAGCCGAGGTGGTGGAGGATGAGTTGCGTCATCTGATCGCGGCCAGAGAGCAGGCTGACTACCTGCGAGCCTGGCTGATGCCGATGCTACGGGCCACAGTGGACCAGCTGGGACAACTTCGTCGAAGGCTCAACTTGCCTGCTTCAGACTCTCAGCAGGTCGAAGATGCCGCCGACTATGCAACGGAGACGGAAGAGTCACAGAAGAAGATGTTTCTCGAAGCATCCGAGGCAGATGTCACTGCTTCCCCTACCGTCATGTAACTTCAGGACTCCCATTTTTGACGTCCATGAAACTCCTCCAAGAGCTTGAGAAAGTTGAGCTTCATGCTGTGACTTGGCCGTCCTCGCCGTCATTGCCATTAAGAAAGAGAAGCGATTTGCGATAAAGCACTACTTGTTTCTTATTGAGTATGTTTCATTTTTATTAAACTGCAAAGCTACCACCTGAGGCTTTAGGAGATTATTTTTGATGAATTGACACAATAAAGCGAGCCAATGTGCTAAGGACCGAGGGGGTGTAGAAAAAGATGTCACGTGAATTTGTCGAAGCAGATCTCACTAAATAATTTTGGCACGATTTCCCTAACATCGGACGATTTTATCCTAGCTCTATTAGTCCCC